AACAGTTTATTCTGAATTAGACATTTAGTACTGTCCAAACTATGGTTTGTGAATGTAGTGGATGATAACCTTTGCATAACATAAGAACACAGTTGAGATAAATTACAAGTATAAAACTAGGGTCAGTGATAAATTGGATAACCAAGAGCACAATGTTGCAAGTATTCATTTGCATTTCATTATTTATTCCTTCACTTTCTCCATCTGACATCTTTGCCTCCTTCCCTCAGCGAACGGTGCGCCTTCGCTACAAGTTGACTCTGACACACGGAGACCAACAGCCGAACGAGACCGGAGAGATCGACAACTTTCCTGATTGGACCGCTTTGATTGGCCACTAAGAACTTCAGAGATTTGGATTTTTAAAAAAAGAAAAACCCTTTGGAACTGGAATCTAGATTTTGAAGTGAACTCAGCGAGAAAGCAAAAACTCAACAACCAAAGGTGGGAAACTTGTGACCGTGCCTGCAGTCGACCGATTGATGCAGACGTTTGTCCACTTTATAACGTAGCAAGCACGATGCAAACCAAGAAATAATCTCAGATTTATTCTGTATTACTCTAAAAAGGTGGGTAAACTCTATTCCACACATAGAAATGTTAACAGTTGCAGTGGGTTCGGTACATTCCCGATCTACCTGATTCAGGTATTCAGTATTCTGTTGTCTTATTGTGTTCTTTTTGTTCTTGCTGCCTGTCGTTAACCCGCAGTTGGATAATACAGTATGTTCCCTGTTACCCATGTGTGCCATAAGATGGAAGATGTTGTGTTTTTAATATCTATTTATTTTTTAGAATAAGCCACTGATTCTCAAACTACGGTGCGTGTACCACTGGAGGTACGCAAGCTGCCTCTAGAGGTACACAGGAATTTTATTTTCAAATGAATTAATCTGAAAACACATAATACTATCAAAATGCTACAAAATCTTGGTTCAAAATACTCAAAATATGAGGAAAATATGTAAGTTAAAGTTAAAAAAAAAAGTTTTGTTTGTAATATTTTAGTGTTTGAGAAACACTGGCTTAAGGCATGTGGGAGAAACCTTCAGAGGTTGGTATTTGAGTGTATTTCACTGTCCTTGACTGCAACTTAAAACACAAGCAAATGAAGGAAATGTCTTCACCACAACATTTAGTTTGAAAAATCAAGCAAATTAAGAAAATACTTTTTCCATTTTGACAACACGTGGTATAAAAGGAATGTGCTGCAAATATAGAAATGCTACTTCAGCACAACAGAAAGTTACATTGGCAGCTCAAATCAGACTGGTTGCATTATAGTCAGTGAAGGGGGGCTCTTATTGTGAAAAACCAGGATGTTTTGTTGTTGTGCATGAGGCGTGTTGTGAACATTGCAGCCGCTAATAAAGTAGTCTTCCTGTTGAATGTCATGGGTTTTTCACAATAAAAGCCACTTCCTCCCAATACGTGATGTAAACTCTCATACAGGAAGTTATTTGTCAAACTGAATCTAATGCAACTAGCATGAACTATTACATTTTATAATATTATATAATTAACTTACAGGGTCTCCTGTTGTGTTGTAACTTTGTGTTTATGTGTTTTTCTTCATTTGCTTGAGTTTTATTTATTTATATTGTGCTGAATTTTTTCTAAATGTGATGTTTGAAGATCATGTCTTAATTTTCTTGTGTTTTCAGTATGTTGAGCTCTCTCAGCCACCGTAGATTTGGGACTGTTGTTAACTGTAAAGTCACTGTTAATTTCATATGAATCAGTGTTTCCTGATTAGTTGTTTTATACTGTGAAGTTTTATAATTTGAGCCCAGAGCAACAAATCCAGTGCTTCTTCTATTGCTGTCGGATTTAGTTCAAAACAGGCTTCGCAAGATTTTTGATGACTTGAAGCCAATTGGAATGTTTTCTTTGAATGCTTGTCTGCCTATTGTCTGTCAGTCCAGCAGTGTGTCACTCGGCCATATGTCATCAATAAACACAAATGCAATATCTTACACAACAAAGCTCAAATTCTCTTTCTCACCAAATCTTCCCAATCCAAAAACAACAAAGTGTTTTATAGTAATATAATCTCACCCTGAAGTTTCATTATCAGTAATGAAGTGACCATGTTGAGGTCTTTGACCTATTTTCTTAGTGTGGACTAAAAGAGAGAGAGACCACCAAGACCTCTGACCATGCTAGGACTGATTTTATGGTTAAAACAACTGAGGTTGGGTGATATGACCTAAAAATTAAATCTCATGTTTTTTCACCATATTCATTTTTTTCCCCCTTTAAAAACAAACTACACCTGTAATCTATCTACAGTATCTATCTGTAATGTCTTATCACTGCCCCTTCTTCTCATATTGGGTGCTATTGGAAAATGATTCTGTTGCATGTTCTGTGTAGATTAGATTAAGAGTCTTTAGCAGCTGTATATACCCGCATTATAACATTCGTAGTTTAAATCTCGATTTTACAATTTACCCGTTTTTATGCATCGTTTAAAAAAATTCTAAAGAATAAATGTATTGCCCAGCTTTAAAAACAGATAAGGCTGCAACTAATTATTGTTTTTATTATCAGTAGATTTTTCTTTTTCCAATTAATTGATCAACCGTATTGTCCATAAAATGTGACAAAAGTGCAGAACTCTAAATATACTGTTTACCATCATAGACTAAGAAAAGCAGCAAATATTCATGTGAACTTAAATTGGTTTAAAAGGACTTGGATGATGAATTATCACAGTTGTTGCCAATTAATTTTCTGTCGCTTAAGTAATATTTTTTTTTGTTTTGTTATTGATATTTAATTCAATGATATGATTAAAAAAATGAAAATGAAAATTTTACGAAGCTTCATTTGTGCTTCATAATTCACTTTAACGTCTAACCGATTACCAAAATAAAAAGGTTGTACTTATGGTGGTAGATGAATCCTTTTCTGGTATCATCCAGGGTAAAACGGCGACCTGCAACTGAAAACACAATCCTTCAACTTCATTAATCATATTTATTATATGACATCAGCAGATTAAAATACATGTTTATTATGTACATATATGTAACAGGGGTGTTAGATAAAGTGCCAAATAACATTTTTACAAAAACAAAACAAAAATGGGATTTGTGGAAGACCATCACACCCATTACCCTGGTCCCACAGTTCATTGCTTCGCGGACGAGTAGCCACCTTGTTCGAAGGAAGGCTGAATTGCTCAGTGCTGGTCATGGGACAGTTTTGGCACAATTTCATCCGGGAATCAAACTCACAGTCTGGGAGTGGTGAAACTGTGGTGATGGGATGAATACTGGGTGTTTTTTTTTTTTGTTTGATGGTTTGTTTTGTTTTTTAAAACATGAACCGACATCGACACGTACAACAGGTCAGCCTTTCGAGCCGGACTGCGAATGTTTCCACCCTGACAAAACAGTCCAGATATTATTCAGAAATCCAGCATTGTTGCTTTAAGGTTAGTATGTGAGGAGGTTAAACTGTTCCAAGACCAGAGCCCAAAGGTCTTGTCAGCATCCCCTTCACAAGTGGAAAGTCTTTGTAGCAAATATAAGACGACAGACTACACTTTCCAGACTTTTTGCATTTTTTTTTTCTCTTTTCTGACAAACAGAGGAAGGTAGACATTCTTCTAACAGTTGTTGGTCGGTATGTGTGTGTGTGTCTGTGTGTGTGTGTGTGTGGTGGTATCTTCCTCATAAACAAGATGACAGAGAGATAATGGGTAGCACTTATTTGCATGTATGTATTTCAAGTTCTTTTAGATTTTCAGGAGCTACAAAAGGTCGATAAAACAGGTCCCCACCCCCTATTTTATTATCCCCCAGTTTATTCCCTACGGCAGTGATGGATGTACAGATACTCTGTGATGAAGACTCTGGTCTTTCTATCACTACCATTTGATCAACAATCTGGCTGTTCAGGAAGGCGTATGCTCCAGTCGGGTTTTTGTATCTGTGTCCGGTGCCGTGCTGTCCGTCTTTAATGTTTTCTCTGTGAGCTGTGAAGGTTGTTTAAGACGTCTGTAGTCGAGCATACGCTGGCCTTCAGTTGAGAGGGTCACATGATAAAGTGGTCAGAGCAAGAAGGGCGTCTTCAGCTCTTCATCCTCTTCCATGACAGTCGTACCACAAACTGTCGAAGCCTTTCTGGCTCCATTCATGTTCTTCTTTATCTCTCCTGAACCATTACTGACCGGTTATATTCATGTTTTTACATCCAACTAACTTTCTTCTTCTTCCTCCTCCTGTCCATCCTCAACTGGCACCTCTTCTTCCTCTTCTGGTTGTACAGCTTCTTTCTCCTCTTCCTCTTCGACATCTTCTGTTTCTCCTACCTCCTCCTCAACTGTATCCTCCATCTCTGCCTCCTCCTCCTCCACTGTCTCCTCTGTTTCACCCTCTGGTTCTACATTTTCCTCCA